CCCTATAGTAAATGGTGCTACCCTATTTCTCGTTCAGTTTTTAAGTCTTGACTTCCCAGTGGTTGCAACTCTTTTAACCTGGCATAAAAGTTCATAATATGGCTCTATAAATTCGTAGTTATAGCATCGAAATTAATTCCTCTCTCTGTGCACCCTCTCCCTGGCGGGTCCCCTTAGCAGGGCACAAGCTGATTTCTCTTGGGTAGAACGAGACCTTTGTCTTCCAGTGGCGTGTGCATTGCGTTCCCTTGCCTTTTGCAGAAGTCTTAATGAAAAGTGTATTTGTAAATGTTGCGAAAGTTCCTCTGAAATACAGCTTGCTATTATTTTTAAAGATTAAGAAAAAAAATGAAAATTGTACCTAAGATCATTCTATATGTTATAATTAATGGTTTGCATTAGATTTTTTTAATTTATTGCCTCTTTACAATTATCCCTGGAGATATATAACTTGGAGAAGAAACGTCTGCATTAGAAACATTAGGTATGCTTATAGTGTTCTGTGTTAGTTAGCTACATATGTGATTTTTCCCAAAAGTGCTTTTACTTTTCTCTGTTGTTTACCTCTGTGGTTGAGAACTAACACATATGCAAAAGGTCTAACTCATCATATGCAAAAAAGACATACAGTTAGCCAATTTTCTTTATTTACACAACTTTTGAAAAACAAACAAACAAAAAGTTGTTTTTCAGCTTTGAGGAAGAAATCTCTATTTTATAGCTTTATTGCAAGGTATGTGCTGGGGAGTAGCATCTTCTCAGTGCGTGTGGCAGTGGTCCCCTCATATTTAATAGAAGACTCTGTGTGTGTGCACATGTGTGTGTGAGAGAGAGATTGTCTACCACTATATGAGGTCAGTCACTTCCAGATGGGATTGACTAGTTCTGCAGGTAACAAAAAAAAAAAAGCTTGAAATTCAATGTGTTCATTTTTCCTATCCTTTTTACCTCTTGCATTCAGAGTCCTTTTAGACTCATAGTTTCACTGTTGAATTGTTTGATGAAAGTAAGTTAATTATGTCCATGAAATGACATTTTAAAATTTCGCCATTTTCCCCTTCCTTTCTCTGAACCTGTGAAGGCAGTACCCTCTTAGGAATGACACTTGATCATCATTCTAAAGCACATAACATTTCTAAATCCTGTACTATTTTGTATTCAGAATAGGTGAGAAATTAACCTGTTTAATGCATCTTTAATGTTTGGCAATTTTTCATCATGATAGTTTAATTGGTTGTCTATCACGTAAGTTGTAGGGGTGCCATTCCCGTCCCCTCCTCCTCCCCCTTAGGGAAAGTGGGCGGGTTTTTTTAATACCAGCTTTAGTCAAGGTCTCTTACAAAAAGCATAGAAAACCTTTGTATACCTGAGTTAATTCAGTCCATCTAGTGAATCAGGTCAATTCATATAATGAAGCCAGGAACAGCTGTAAAAACCCTGACACATTCACACGTACATAAACACACTTCACTTAGTCGCGATGGGACTGCAAACCGATCCGTTTGAATCATCTTCTGTAGTGTACATATTCAGTGATCCATTATGTAGTATCCCTTTTGGTACCTGAATTGACCACAGCTTATTACACGGAAAAGTCAATAAAAAAATGGTTTCTGCATTTTCATTGGTTTATTAAGCCGGATGCACAGCCATCGCTATCTCAATCTGATTAAATGCAGCATTACATTTTGTTGAAAAACGGAGCACTAAGCAGTTTTGTTCATGAGCTTGAGATGTTTTAGGCTTTGCCTGATCATTTTATACAAATTGGTTTGAAGTTTTCCTGAATGAAGCTCTTAACAGCTCTTACAGAGTTTTACTGGAGTAATCAAACCAGCTAAGAAAAGGGATACTGCATCTTTAACAAGCAATGCCATTTTTATTTTCGAAGTCATTGTTGGACTCTTTCCAAATGTCCTTCATTTCCTTCCATTTGTTTACCTTCCATATTTTTAATGCTTAGCATGACTACATCAGCATTTCCAATTGTAAGTTTTTAAAATAGAAAACATATGTTTGCATTCAGGAAATGTGTGGTATATATGTCAGTACACACATATCTGTTGTAAACGTGTATTCTTTAAAATGTGTGTACTCATATAGCTACATATAGTACGCATACAAACATATATGCATACACCTGTGTACCGATAAAGATGTTAAAATGAATGACATGAAATTTGTTTTCTGATTAAATGTATTTATTAATGCAATCTTTAGTTTTTGTACTGAAAAGTAAAAAGCATATTTACGGCACAAGATTTGTACACAGCTGTTCATTTTGTCATGACATCTAGGTGGTAATCATTATATTATGCTGAACTGCATGTTGAAAATACACAATCCATTTAATTTTCAAATTTTTTGGCAATAAATGAAATCTCAGCATGTAATTTTCTCAAGTGATCTTTCTAAAAAACAAATCATTTTTATATGCTAGTGTATTTTTTTTTTAATTGCATGGCAAAGTAAGGCTAGTTTGTGCATGAGCAAGTTGAAATGCTAACTGAAGAAACATGAATTTTTCAATTTTTTTTTAAACGCACATTTCTCTGCTTTATTGAATGTGACAGAGTCACGCTTTTCATTCACCATTGCTTCTCTTTTTCCACTGTCTGTGATTTGCTTGCCAGGAGGAGCTACTATTCTTACTCCTACTATCTGTAAGTAGAATACGGGTGACTTACTATTTTACATGTTTTAAAGATGCAGTATCCCTTTTTAAAAAAGAGAAACAGTCTCCATAATTTTCCTAAAGTTTTATTGATAGTTACCTTTCTTCTCAGGCTTGAAAAATTACTTGTATCATTGTTCCTGTTATTCTTACCCTGTTTTTTTTAAAGGGATATTGTATTTCTGACTGTATATTGAGACTTCTGCTTTTTGCTACAGTTTTTTCCATAACTATCATTTTGGTTTATTATAATCATAATTTAATTTGCATTATGATTCACAGCGACACATCACACTAAGGAAAAAACCTCTTTTCCCATTTCCTAGCTAGAGAACTGTGCTTGTAAATCACAAATTTTTCTTTCTTAGGGTATCAGTTCAGGAGTGATCCTGTGCACCGCTTTTCTTACGCAGATTGTAGGCAGACGCCAGACCTTTATAAATAGGTCTGTGCCCTACCAGGGGCAGAGCAACACATCTGCCTCTGTGATACCAACGTTGGTTGGGGTTTGTTTTTTTAGAGAAATATTTTTTGTGAAGTGGTCTGCATCTGTTGCTTGTAAGGTGCTTTCCATACATATTTTAAATTGGGGGTCTTGCTTTATGACGTTGCTTTGCTCCTAAAGCAAACTTTTTTTTATACGTGTTGACCAAATGTGGTTTTGTGAGGGCTGCAGCAGATTTGGCTGTGACTGAGCAAAGCAGTTACACACATTCTTCATTTTAAATAAACACGTAAAGTCCTTGACTTCAGAGGGGATCTAAGAATGCAATCAAGTGCTTCGATGAACCGGTGGTGTCTGATGATGCTCTTCCACATTTTTAAGCAGATTAGTTGACTTCTTTAAACAAACTTAAGAATAAAAAAAAAGCTAAGCTGGCTTAGCTAACTGTCATTCTCCGGTTTATTGTGACAAATTATAATTTCCTTGTTAAATAACAATTGCTTCAGCTCAAGATAATTAACCGCACAGTTTCATCCTATGATGCAGCACTTTTCCCCTCCAGCTCCCGCTGAAACACCCACCTGCGCAGGTTCACCCAACTGGATCCTTTAGCAGATAATGAGAATCACTTACACTTTCTGTCAGCCTCAAGTACTTTAACCTAACAATTTGCTTAACTCTCCTGAAGCATAGATTGCATGTGCCTTTAGCCTAGTGAAGGAAGGAAAAAAGGAAAGGAAAAAGAAGTCATCAAACCCCGAGGGAGCCAGGAGCTGTTGAACAATAAAGCTGTCTTCCCATTTCCCAGCAGCTTTGGGTTGCGGTGCTACAACACAATGGGCCTTTTTCGGAGTTGAAGGAGAGCATAAGAATTAGAAAGTAGCTACTGTAATAAGCTAATAACTTGAAAGCCTTAATAGCTGTTGATTTATTTAGCGTAGCTAGCAAGTTTTGTTACAAAGTGATGCTTCAAAGAAGGGCTTAATATAGTCAAGAGAGGAGATGTAATAGTCTTTTTGTTCCGTTTCTGAGGTGCATTAGAAAAAGGCAATCTTCAGTGTATAGAGACTATCTGAAAGGCTTTGAAACTTAAAAAAACAGTCTGAACTAGAAATGCCAGTTTTCTGTAAGCTTTGATAGTATTGAGAACCAGTTATAAAGCTCAAGCAGTTTCACTTCTGGAAGTTCTGATGGTCTTCATTTTTTTGACCAGAGTATCATTTAAAACAGCTTTTCTTAAGTAAATACGAATGTGTGGAGTAAATGTATAAAGTAAAGCATTTTAGGGGGGACATCCAACTGTTACTGCTTTTTTACTTTTCACTGAACGACTGATACACACAGAACCCTCATGTACACCACAAGGGTTTGATGAAAAAATGATAGGTTTAGAGACCACCTTTGGGATTTTTGTAGCAAGGGAGTTATTGAGTAGCAATTTTCCAACTAGTCTATCTGTAAATGGGGAAAAGAAAGGGGGGGATGGGGGACAAAGTAAGAAGGTGAGACTGATCGGTGAAAGAATCTTTGTTATTCTCAGGAGTGCTTTGTCCATCTATATCCTACTTAGTGGCCTCTTATTGTGAACCAAGACTATTAACTTAAGAAACAATCCTAACATTTTCTTCAATATGCAAATACATGAAGTGCTCCCTGGCCTAGAGAGTGGTGTAGGTCCCTTGTGGTGGATGTTCCCAGGACTTAACAAGTAAATTGATGGGTCATTTGCACTAATATTCCTTTTGTCTACTCTTAGGGTGCGGCACAGAATACTAAAAGTTATTAGAGAATAGAGGAAGAGCAAACAGTCCTTTTAGTCAGAGAAATGCAAGATAAACACTGTCTAAACAGTTAACAGGATATTTGATGATATTTTATGCAGAAAAAGCTTGTGAAGCTAAGCTGTGTTTTAAACATACATTTTCAAGAACCCAGTATTTTCAGTGATGATTGTGTCTCTCCCACGTGGTGTCAGATGTATCCAAATAAGCAGGTTGGCTATCTGTTATATTGCAGTCACAGCTTCAGATGAAAACAGGGAGATTTCAGAACAGTCTCATGTATGCCACAGGTTCCTGCAGAACCAAGGTGCAATTGATGCTGCTCTGCATACTTCCTACTACTTGAGATATATGCTTTAAGGGTAGTAAGCTTTAAGTGGTCATTAAAATATATTGTCTGCTCCCATCTCACTTCTGGAGACAGTGAAAGTCACTTCCAGTTCTTTGTCAAAAGGAAAGAATTGAGAGATATTTCTGAAGTGTGCACTTTAAGGGCATTGGCTGTTAATTTGGGGAGTTCAGAGGTACAGATTAGGTTGCTGTTTAACTGCGGTAAATTCAGAGTGTAAGACTGTTAATGTCAAAAATTAAGATGTTCCCAAACTGCATGAAAGGGTAGAGTGGTGAGAGGGGGAGTTGGTTTGTTTTTTAAAGAACCAAAGTTCAATGTCAGGAACAAAGTGTGGTATCATGTTGTATCTTGTGTACTGAATGGGAAGAACAACTTTTAACATAAAAGGTAATATGAATCCATATTGAATAATTATGTTTCTTTTGTTATTTCATAGGCTTTTTGACTAACAAAGTGATTTAGAAGGTTAAATGATTTCTTCCTAACAAGGCAAGCAAGGGGAATGACTTATCCATTTATAAAATCAAAACACAGTTTCAAATGGAGGTGGTTGATAAAACTGCATGCACAGATGCTTCTTATTTATCATTTCAGTTAAAATGTAATTATATTCTCTAATTTGTTTATATTAGTGTAATTACTCCACAGGAAAAAAAAAAATATTACCAGGGTACAGAAGTTAGCACTTCCATTACAGCATTTGTGTGTGTACAGAAAACACACTCATAGCAGGGTGCATAGTTTTATCAATTTCATGCTGGAAAAGTTGTACACAGGAAAATCAGCCAAACTTCTCAGTCGCTCAGGATTATAGATAATTATTACTGTAGACATCAATGTTCATCAAATATTAAGGTGGTTTGGGTTTTTTTTTTTGGCTGGGCAGTAAACTTGCAAAGAAGCGCAAGGATGCCATGGGGACCACCCGCCAGGAGATGACACACATGGTGAATGCGATGGATAGGAGTTACGCTGACCAGAGCACCCTGCATGCAGAGGATCCCCTTTCAATCACATTTATGGACTCTCATAACTTCAGCCCCAGATGTAAGTACAACAGTGAGAGATACTCCAGAGCGTAGGTGAATATAGAAACGTGGAAAACAATTTTACTTTTTAAGGAAAATTGTTGTAAGCTCCAGGTTTTCTAGGAACACTGGTAAACCCAAAGGTTGAGTAGGGATGTTCGTGTGTTATCCTTATTGGCATGTGATCAGTTATTTAAATATTTACATGTACTTTCAGTGTGCGTTGATACTTGTTCTAGGGAAAAATATTACACTTCTAGAATATCTCAATTAAAATCTTAAATTGAGTTTTCCCTTATGAGGATATTTAATATCAACATGTTAAATATTACTGCACAACACCATGTCTGTAATGAATAATAATATAAGGTCCAAATCTATTTCTTTCTTTTGGCAGTAAGGACGTTATAACAGGAGGAAACATTGACAGTTTTCGTTGCTGTTTGTGAAATTTAGGAACAAGCTTGTTAATATATCTGCAGATTTGCTTTATGTTCGTGTTCCTTTTTTGTAAACTTGCCAACTGTCTGGTTTTGACAAAGTTTGGCACTTTGGGTTTCTGACTGTTAAGTGTCTGGGTTATAGCTACCACTGTCCAGCATGCCTACCTGCCAGCATCTGCACTATGCCTTGCACAAAACAAAGATACTCCACTGGCAGATTCTGAATACCTCAAAACCAGTGTGTAAGTTACCGAAGCGACACAATTCTGCCATGGAGCTGGCAGGAACCTGACCTTCTCACGGCCACATGGACTTGTGGCTTGGCTTTAAACAGATCTGAGCAGCGTGAGCTGCTTCTGAATTGCCATCTTTTGGGAATGGCGCTCCATCTCCCTTCTCCTGCCTCCAATACTGCTTACCATGCTTGAGCAAAATGCATCCCCTTAAGGCTCTTAAGTTCTTTCCTGATTGTTGTAAGGGAAATGGATTTTGGAGGAGAGTTTATTGCTCGGTTTATTGAAGCTTACCAAACTGCAGAGTGCTAACATTTTAAGTGTCGCATAACCAATTATAGATGGGAGTTTAGTATCAGCCTGTGAGTTTTTCTGCACAGTTTTGGCTGGAACTGTTTGAAAATTCTCCAAAGTTTGATGTCTTACTGGCATTGAAATTTGTGGAGGCAGGTTTGCAAAGACAGTTCAATTTGGACTAAGTTATGGTGGATTCCAGGCAAAGTATCCATCAGGAACCTACATGGCTATTAGTGAGCCGGGGCTGCCAGGCCCTTTTGGGCAGCTTTCCAGATGGACTGACGTGATGCCAAAAGCCCATGAGCCCCAGCCACCACAGCTGTCCTGGTTGGTTGGCAAAGAAGTTTGGCATCACTGCTTTCCAGCGTCCCAGGTATGTGATTTTTTTCGGTGTTGGAGGATTCAATTCTCCTGACCATCATCTGTGATGAGGCAAGGAACCTTCCAAGCTTCCAGGGTTTTCTGCTATGCAACAAACTTTTTAGGCAGATTGCTTGAGAAGTGGAGCTCAATTTTGTCACAGAGCTGTTGATACTTTAAATTTTTGTTCCAGATTGGAACAAAACCAAATTCTGGATTCCACCTTTTCTGTCCGAAACAGCACATTTGTCTCTGCATGGTTCTAGTTGTGATAACGAATGATAAAATTCTATTAATTTTATTCAAACATCTGCATCTGTGTATCTGTGATTTTTCTGTACTCATTAAGAGCAATATCTTTGGCATTGCACATAAAAAAAGCTATTCACTGTAAATATGTATATAATTTTTTAAATTTCCTTGAAGACTTTAAAGAAATACCATTTTATTTTGAGATGAGCTATTCAAGTATTATATGAGAGGAGGATGGGTTTAAAAGGAAAGGAGTTGGTTCTATGAAAGCGAACCTTTATTGTGAAGCAGAAGAACAATAGTGAAGGAGGAGCCCTTTCAAAAACTAAATTGCATGTAACATCTTCTTTATTTCATTTCAGTAAGCATCTCTTTGCCTTTATAATTACATTTCTGAAGTCCAAAATCACTGCCTCTTATTCCTCTTTTATTCAAGATGCTTTCTGGATCTGTGTATTCGTTCTGTTTTTCTGTTGTAACAAAATTAATGGGGTTTACTTATCACTTGGTTAAACTCTGAAGTATATTGTTTTTATTCTTAAAAATACACAAATGGAGGGTAATGTATTTCTTCATGAGCTTTGTTTTCCTACAGTGCCCAATGATCCACTTGTGCCGACAGCTGTGTTAGGTGAGGACCCTAGTCCTTCATTACCCATTCCTGCATGAGTTTTGTCTCCTTGCATGGTTGAATGTTGGAACAGCTTGTTTTATGTAAAAGCTAGCTATGCTGTTGTCAGAAAATAACTCTACACTTAGTTTGTCAACTCAGAATTAAAGTGACGCTGCTTTTAGAATAAAAATTTTTATGTTCTCATTAAGAAGTTATTCCTAGTCAGTGCCAACTGAAGAGTAAATGAGGAAATAGGTAAATGGAAAATACTATTCTCCCCAGTGCATTCAAACTGAGTCCCAATACACTGACATGTGAAACTAGAACTCTCTTAAGAGATACGTAAAAATAAAATTCAGATGAATATTTGGTACCCAAAGGTTGATTTTCTAAGTAAGTAACAAGAATAAAAAGAAAAAGAGAAAAGGGAAGAACTTCTGAAATATCCAAGAACAAACAATAACTTTGCTTGTAGGTTCTGTACAAATATTCTTGTATGCCTATATTCATTTACATTTTTCAATTGACGTTAACTGGCAAGTTTTTCAACTTTGTACTTAGTTTAAAAAGAAGAACAGATGTTGGGAGTGGCCAGGCTGCTTATTTCTGTGTCACGTCTAACACTGAATGCACGTTTAGAGTTTTTTTTAAAAAAATACAGACATAAAAGTATAATTTGTACCCAAGTTCTTGGTTTGATGAACACAATGTGCTGTTTTGAGTTTCAGTCAGTTGCTGAGGTTATTTTAGGATAAAAGACAAATATCAGGAAGTAGGCATGAATATAAACTGAGGTTGAAAATTTGATTTCTAGCGGTGAAGTTTAAAGGGACCTGGAGACAATTTAATCCCTCCTCTGTTTTGAGGTGGGACATTATACCTATAGTACAGACTGTTTCTGGCAATTGATTGTCTATTGTGTTTTAAAAATCTGAGTGAAGAGAATTTTACTTTTGCAGTGGCATATTCCAGTGCCTCGCTTCTCCCAAATAAAAATAAAATTCAGATCCATATTGGTATTATTTGGGACCCAAAGCTCAATTTTCTAACTGAATATTAGTTACTACTGACTGGGTGTTACTACTGAGTATTACTACTGCTCACTCCTAGTTTTTCCTAACTAGACTAATCTAGACTACATCCTCATTGCTGTGAATTGAGCTATTTCCTTTTGAGAGACTCAAAGAAATGTGGAGAACTGACACACTCCTTTTCTTTTAAAACAGTCTTTTACCCATTGAAAGGCTCACACATCCTCAATTGTCTCTCTTCTAGTTGAGTTAAACCCAGTTCTTTCACATGTCGTCTTGTAGCTGATGTTTTCTAAACTTGTTATCGTTGTTTTCTTCTGAACACTTTCCAACTCATAGGTTGAATTTTTAAATTATGGTGCTCCAAATCAGGTACAGTTCTTAGAAATCTCAATGCTGAATGGAATAGGTACCCCTATGCCCTAGTTGTAGTGTCCCTGCTACCTGAACTGTATTTTGCCCTTTTTATTGCACTCGTGTTGCTGACTTGTATTAAGTTACCTGCTAAAATCCCAGTTATCATTATCCAGTCCATTAATCCATTTTGAAGTTATACATTTGGCTTCCCTTTCCTGCACACAGTATGTTGCATTCACTGTTTAATTCACTTTGTTGATTTCTGCATTGTCTCCCAAATAATCAAGGTAACTTTGAAATCTGATCCTGTACTTGTGAAGTGCTTGTGTTGCCTTACTGCTCAATGCCCTCTGCTCATACTGTCATGGTATTTTCTGTCCCATTATGCAAGTTGTGGGTAAAAATATTGATAGAGAGTATGCTCTGGAGGAGCCTTTGCAGATCTTCATGTAAAGTGTCCTCTGAGACTGACAGCAAATCACTAGCTGTGAGTAGTCTTTGCTCTTTGCACCAGTCTTTGCGAGCTGGTGTATACTCGCCCTGTGGGAGATTTATGAAGTCATATTCTTCCCATTTCCTTTTGATAATGTTGCAAATGCCATTCTCTTGACTACAGTGGTGTCTTAGAAAGTTTATAACCATCAGAGCAGTTAGATGCTGGAGCCTTCCACTTTGGGCCCAAGGAAGCCTAACCAGGTGGTTTAAGAAGTTTACGAGGGGTGGTGAAATAGCACCGTTGCCTGAAAGAGCAAAGGGGTAGACCTGGTAGTTCTGAATACTTCCCAAAATTAGATCAATGGACTTAACATTCATAAAATATGAGCCTTTTCCTGAAATTCTTCTAAGATCTTCTCGTACCTTTTAGCTGTATTTCAGGCACTTACAAGCTACATAGATACTATCTGGTGATACTTGTCAAGCTATTCCTAATAGCTCATTTAGGCTATAAGCATATTCCAAAGGTCAATGTGTTGCCACTACATTGTGGCAGACACAGACACGGGCAGCTGTGAACAGTGAGGACAAGGGATTAATTGAAGAACAGTTTAGTAGTTCTGCATTTCCATCTACTGGTAATGGTGTTTTGGGCATGATAGTCTCCTGGTATAAGCAAAGCAGTGCCGGTTGGAAGAGGTAATATTTTTCATTGCATGGACTGAAATAGCGGAGAGAAGTAGACAAGCTTTTGGGCACACCGTGTAGAAGGGGTTGGGTACCTGTAAGCTTGCTCCTTTGGAACTAGATCATTTGGCCTCCTCCATCATCATGTAGCCCTTGCTTGGCCCAGCATCATAAAAGAGTTTTCTCTGTTTTATTTAGAGATGAGCAAAATTTTATGGGCTCTAAATTATAGAACATGTTACTTTATATGAAGCTCTTGTTACTTTGTAGCTGTACTAGGTTTCTTTTTCTTCATGTATAGGTTATTAATGCTGCTTTTATTACTTTGTAGCTGTACTAGGTTTCTTTTTCTTCATGTATAGGTTATTAACGCTACTTTCCATTCTGTGTACATTAGCACTAAGTTAGTATGACAATTTTGCTTTTCTCAAGTCCCTATCATTACATTGATGGCATAATAATGTGGCCCTTATATTTTTAAAACAGCTTTCATTGTTACCTATTGTGAAGCTTTAACAACTTTTAATGTCATTTTCTTTTAGTCATTTTCTAATACAGTCCTGAAATAAATTTCTTATGTTCTGTTCACTCATTGTTTTTTGCTGCTTCAATGGGTTAAAGTGCCTATTACTGGTAAGTATACTGCGAGGAATGGGGAGAACTGCAAATCCTGAGGTGGTTTGAAATGTGTATGATTTAATAGGGGTAACACTACAATAAAAAGTGACTTCTGCATGTCACTCACATTATTAGGCAGTTTAGTGAGGCATAAATGTACTGAAATTAGGAACTTGTGTGACAGTTCAAAGAATCAGGTTTCTTACTAGGAAATCTCATTTCAGCAGGCATTAACGGGGTTTGCATTTTGGTGGAATTGTAAAAAAATCCACCCCTTGGGGTGCTCATTTTTTTCCTTGAGTGTTTTACTTCCTAATCTGGATCCTTTGCAAGGAAAACGGTAAACTGATTTCAAAGAAGTGTAGGAGGGGTTGGCTACCCACTTCTCATTTCAGTAGCTACTTTCCAAAAAGGTTCCATTTAGAATTTTTCTTCCTCTCTAAATTCATTTGAACTGCTGATTGCTAATTTAAAAAAAAAAAAAAAAAATCACAGAAGGTATTGACTAAATGTGATCACTTCACGCAGCTTTGACATTTGGTTTTGATAAGAGAATTGGTGTAACATAGGGCGTTAGAGGAGACTTCTTTGTTTATACAGAGCAAAAACTGCAGCTGAAATCAGCACACTCAACAGTTTCATTTCTCTGCTAAAAGACCCGAGTTAAAATGACCACTCTGAAGTGCTGATTCATCTTCCCAAACAGAGGTAGTGTTCTGAAGCGGTACAATAATTGGTTCTCTTATTTACTGGGATCTCAATTTCCTGTTTGTTGCCTTTAGACAAATGATGTGCTGATACTACCACAGAGCTATTCTAATTTATTGTTTAAGGTGTAGTATTGCTGTTGATACATATTAGCCATTAAAAAAGTTACTTTGGGTGATAGAGGCTGGAGTTTCCAAGTACATTAATGTCATAAAGTTTTGTAGCTTCAAATAAAATGCCCTTCAGACATCTTTATTGCGGGATGAAGGATTGCAAACTTTTGTATGTGTTCACAGTTAAATTCCTTTATGTACTTCACACTATTTATGTGCTGGAGAGTAAGTGCTTTGCGTTCTTAGAAATTAGACATGTTTTTGAAGGAAGAGGTTGAAAATAGATGTTGATATGTATAGCAGCAGGTGTTATTGCCGCGCAGGTACCTAATGCATTGATTTCTTGTGAATACAGATGAAAATCACAGTGCGACAGCAGAGTCCAGCCGACTCCTGGATGTCCCTCGTTACATCTGCGAAGGCACAGAATCCCCGTACCAGACTGGGCAGCTGCACCCTGCCATCAGGGTGGCTGATCTGCTGCAGCATATTAACCTAATGAAGACCTCTGACAGCTATGGATTTAAAGAGGAGTATGAGGTGAGACCTTCAGTGGTGGGGTTTTGCTAGGAAGAATCCCCTTGAAAGGGGCAGCCTTTTGTTTGTACTGCATTGCAAAATGATGCAACTAAATGTCATGAGTTCAAGTGAAAAACAGATAAAGATAAGCAGGCATAAGGTTCCTGTATATGTAACCCAAAAGTGAAATAATGAGTGGAGTACAATGGTTTGAGCCATTAAAAGTGCCTGGAAGAAGCGCTCTCTGTATCCTCTAGAACATAAGAAGACATGTCCTGCTG